CACATTTATCTCCATTTGCACCTGAAATCCAGAAACATATTTTAGAATTAAATGGCTTTTGAAGGGAACAGTGTACAAAACGAGAGACTGAATATTACTGATACATATACATATATGTCTAATCGACATGAAATTCGCTTGGTGGATCATAACTAAAATCCTGATTAGTTAGGTGAACAAATTTGAATTTCAAATTGTACGACTTCTTGAATATTTATTTCTATATAAATTGACGTACACATACTTCTTCTATACTTTCTTTGTGGCACTGCTCCTATCTATTTTTGAACTTCACAGATACTAAGAATCTTATCTGAATTTGCAGATGCACTGACAGGAATGTGTTACATACATATGGGCTTACTTGAAAAATGCAGTAATGTTGCCACCCCTATCATGTTAAAGGTGAAACTTTCAGATCTGTATCTACTGAACATAATAACTATTTAGTTTCAACTTTGTGTTAGAAGATTTTTTATACAGTATATCAATTTAGTAACACAAAGGTCATCAATACAGTACATTAATTTAGTAACACAAAGTTCATCAAAAGTCTTGAAATGAGTTCAAAATCTGCAAAACGGTACGTAGTGGTCCACAAACAAAATGTCTGTGTTTCGTTTAGATTCGAGTCAGGTCGGTTTGGTACTATTATTTGGCTTGGGTTAGTTTGAGATTTAGGACGCCTTTTGACTTGTCCTTTGTCTTTAATAACATATTTAGCCAATGGAACAAGTTTAAGCCCGTCAGACCGGATTTTAAAAACATAAAAATTCCTTAATAGCTACAACAAAAGTGCTGTCTTTTTAGTTGGTATCATCCAGCGATCTCTTTCCAACTGGAAGCTGTGCAATATGAAGTTCGCGGGGTTTAGGCAATGAATTATATGTCGTGTTTACATTGGGTTGTTTTTGGTAAAGCATGCATCCGTGACAAGAACAAATCTGGATTTGAAGCTTAACTCTTGAAAATAATCCTTTTTGAAATGGGTTGAAACGGTCGAGAAAGTCAATACAAATATTTTATTTGTAGCACTTTAAAGTTCACCTGTACTTCTGGGGAAATGGGACTCTTACCAGATGATGGTAGGCTAAAAGCTGAAAGGAAAAATCCTGCGGCGTTATTGTACGCTCCATCAAACGTTAACCATACAGTGTCTCCCAATGAGATTAGATGGGGTACTTCCCCCGTGCCTTTCCACTCGAAGAACATGGTGGCACTATCGGCGCTGTCATTACCATCACCGGCACGGAAGACTGATCCATTATGGTTGTCGAGATTGTGAAAAATGATGCGAATTCTTCGTCCGTTTTCTGTTCTGATGATCCAAGTGAGGTTCACATTGCTCTGCTTGTGTGAGGAGGCAGTTCGCAAGTAGTTTGGAGAGGCAATTTGAGCCGACTCATTTGCACGTATAAATACAGGGGAAGCTGCAAATACAAGACGGGAAAAATGTCATTGGTCTTGGAACGTCAAGTTCCAACATTTGGTTTAAATGCCCTCAGTGACAACTGCAGGTTGAACAAACTTACAAATGGGAAGTTTCAAAGATGTCATGGTGTTTAGTGTGTAATTTAGCTACAGGAGTACTTGGAAATTCTGTTAGAGATACAGCGGCGTATTCGGCTTCAGTCACCATGCATGCTTCCATGTATAATACATAAATATACCGATTACATTCTTACTATTCTCACCTGTGAAATATTTCTAGTTAAAAAAAACCTGGGGGCAATTTCCCCCTGCCTGCGCCACTTTATACACCTTTGGATGGATATCCGTTTCGGAAAGTCCCCTCTCCAATAAAAAAAAATCAGACCGCAACAGTTACCTTTTACATAGAATGTAAACGTTTTTGAAGCCTGGCATCCATCAGAATTTGTTGCTGAGCAGGTCACTTCATGAGGTCCAAGTCCGAACATTCCTCCTCTGACGCCGACACTTGTTGCATATCCCCGATCAGTGCAGTTAATGTCATTCACGAAGGGAAGATCCTTAGTGTCAGTAGCTGTTATCTCGGCCCAGGACACGCCAACAGCAAATCGACCAGATTTAAATTTGGCACTAAGGTTGGGAACGCTTGGGACAGTTAAAACTGGTTTGGCTGCGTACAAAACAAAATAGAAGGATTAATGTAAAATCTATGCAAGTTTTGGGATATTAATTACTTTCTGGGCAAAGATGATATTCTTTTAAATGAAGTGTCACTTAGGCCAGAAAAAGTCTCCGCTTTCTGGTCAGCGCGCGCATCGCCGTAGACCTACGCATCGGCAAAATAAGACAGTTTTATTTGGTAAAAAAAGATGTCGAAAGGCTGCCAAACTTGCTTCATTGATTTCGAACCCTGCTACTGCGTAATTTTAATGTGTTTTTGATGGGGTACAGGTGAGTAATATATACAGTAAAGGAGTCCCTCTAGTTTCCCGGACATTTAGTGGGGCACTCTTTTTCAGATGACGTCATTTCTGTTGTATACATTTACACCTGAGACCAGACAAACGAGGTGGTCTTATGTCCTGTGACCATGCACAAGCTGAAAATGCTTATAAAAATTATAGGTTTTATTATTAAATTATAGGCATTATAGGTAGGCCTACACCGTTTGCGGAAAAAAGTGAGGGTAAAAAAAAGCCACATCGCCGCACCCAGCCCCTGACCAGAACCCGGAGAGTTTTTTGGCCTTAATCAGAACTGCACGTCTGCGTTCGCGGTACAAAAACCGTTGGAACAAAAGATAGGTCACTGTTTAATAGTGGCTTTGCGTTAATTGTAAACATGTAGGTTATGTAACCGGTTCAAATTAAATACAATTTTGGAAATAAACGTGTTTCGGGTGTTCATGAAGTGATGCCACCCGATATATGTGTCATTTATTAACACATCTACACGTATTTGTTTTTTAAAAATGAACACCTAAACATGATTAGCTTTGGATTATTGACACCACAACACGTTCTTAAAGACCAGGAAGGCTTTCAAAAGGCGTTTAAATAACACTTGTTTTTATAGTGAAGGACTTTGTCCAATGGCCATGTAGTAAGGGCATCAAAATGAGGGCAAAAGGGAGATAGTTGTTAACAAGTCAAAGATCAGAAATACACGACAGGAAAAGATGGTTGAGCAAATCACTATTAATAGAAACTTAAAACATTGCAGCAAAGTAATTAAGCAAAACAACTACAGTGTTTTATCAACGCCCCAAATTTGGAAAAAAAACGTCAAAATAAATTGCATTTTACACTTGTGCCACTAACTAGGGTAGGCCTAATTAAGTTGTTTATTTTGTATTTTTATGACAAATAGGCAGAACCACAGAAAGCCGGTATAAGGCACAAGGTATAAGGTATGATGAAGACATGTTGAAGGAATGTGAAGCTCGTGGGCTTATAAGTGGACCAGAGATACCCAACTTACGAGCGGCTTGATCACAAGTCTGAAATTCATGAGCACTTCATAATATATACTCAGTCGTATTTGTACTATTTTGAAGTCCCGAGAACCCTACCTCTCACACGGAATAATAGCTTCCTTATCAGAAGGATCCTGTGCTGGTCAGTAACAAGACATGTTACTGAATTTGATCCATCCCCAGAATCCAGGCAAAACACGTGCTCAGCACAGGTAAACGAATTCATGTCATTGTTAAAGGCCGTGATGTCTGTCTGCGTGATCGTCGAATTCAACCTGTCGGATTCAACGCATATGTTGATGACGGTTGTGGCATAGGTCACTGAACAATCTGTAACGAAATGCGGAAACTTATATGACCACATTAAATTGAAAAATATTTGTTCCATTGGTAATCTCAATGAATGTTATAATCAAATATGGTATTTATCAAGGTGTGAATGGTAGACTATGACCATTTTGCATCTCACACATTCTTGTTTTGACGGGTGCTTTGAGAATACCGCTAATGCCAGGCCAGAGAGACTTGTACTCACCAATGTAAAGAGATTCCACTAGATGTCCATTTTGACAGCTGTGGTCAACAGATTAAAAACAAAGCATCAAAAAAGAGTATTATTAAAAAAAAACAAAAAAAACAAAAACACAGAAACGTTTGCCGGCTAAAAAAAAAAGCACACCTAAAACCACGTTTAATTAAACAAGGACAAGTTGACGGAATAAATTTTACACTGGTTAAATATAGTAGTTGAATATATGAGCGTATACTGCTAAGTAAGTATGCATGCTAACAATGTGTACCACACCTCAAGGTTCTGGGTTTACGGGGGTTTTTATTCATACCATGAGCCAAATGCTCGAAATAATAATTAAGTTGAAATGAGTGGCTTGGCCCGTTACTATAAAGAAACCTCTATGACAAGGTATTTGCTCTGTCCCAGCATTGGAACCTTACTTTTTGCGTGCGTACCAGTAGCTTTAATTTGTGTTTGTCACCGTCAGTGATTTGTACGTATTTGTTTGCGTTCATGGTACCTGTGGTGTCTTATAGTGTGAATAAATAAATATTGCATGACTTTTTATGAATATTCCTTTTCCTATGGTCTCGTCTTTTATTTAGTGTTTGCGTTACTGGGTTCTTATAATGCCCTTATCTTGTGACCCACAGCGAGCTATTTTTCCAAGAGCGCTTTTTGCGACTGATCGCCTTAAATAGTGCTGCTACAAAATTCTGGTTTGGGCAAGCTTGTAAAAGAGAAACCAAGGCTCATTTTACACCCTTATGGGCCTATGACCTTCTTCTGAGCCACCCGACAGTATACATATTTGTAAATAGTTTGCCGGCCTTAGTAGAGTATTAACTGTCTAAATTGCGTAAGAGTGAAGGGAAATTAACTAGTTGATAGTAAATTTTTTTTGGACTATTGCATCCCAGAAACTGACAACCACTTAATTTTTTATACTTCCTTAGCTTACTGAATATTAAAACTACTTATTTTTAGATTCAGCCAGAATTAAAGCGACGCATATCGGTTGGTCTTGTGGTATTCGCCTTAATAAACATACGTATTTAACCTTCGATCCCTTGAATATATTTGTGAATACTGATAAATAATAAACTTTGTGTGTTTTGTATTTGAATATTTAATTGGTTACTTAAATGAAATAGTCTTTCCATTAGGATCATTCTCAGTGTTTACACGAAGTTGTCGGGGAAAAACGCAAACCCGTAAAAGTCATGCTGCGCTAATATTCTTGGGTGTCAGCTGTGACAAAAGGACAGACTCGGTAAATTGTTTCGTACAAATGCAAGAACTTTATCGAATAAAAATCATTTTGGGGAGAGGAATTTGTGTCTTTGAGTAACTAACCAATAAGGCTGATCCAAAATTAAAGTATGAACTAGGGCTCCTGGGGCTGAAATTCGAGAACTTATCGCCATGCACCAGAATTTTCTCTTCTCGGGCGAAGATACGTCAATGTGTCATAGAAGTGATTTGAAATGAAGGTGAATTTCAGGTACAATTGATTTGATGAAGTATCAGAAAGCCAAATGAAACTGTTAATACAAATGACAGCGTCGAACATCTGATCGGACATCCTTTTCACACTGTATCAACAGCATAATTGTTTGAAATTAGCTCGGGTCATAGTGATACGAGCGTCTATTCCCCTCATAGCTGAATAAAAGGAGTGTGGCTATTTGCATCTTGATGCACTGCTCACGTAAGCGGTTTAAACCAAAGTGTAATATTCTAATCCCAAACGTTTGGTCTTGGTCGAAAAATACTCCATTAAACACAGAAAAAAATTTCACGATCTTTCTTACCACGTACACGCAGAGTCACTAAATTCACAGCATGGATATTGTGCAACCTGACGGTCCTCGTCGGTTTCACCCGAGCAGTCTGGGTTTAAGGGCATCGTTATGACACGGTCTTCAGTCGTGATCACAAGGTACTTTATGGAATCCTTGCTCAGAAACTCGAGACCAGTGATGGGACCACTTGTTCCCTTTGAAAAGATACAGCAAGAAATCAACTTCTCGTTTTTGGCAACAGCACGTCTCTCGTCTTCCTAGGTTTCTCAATTGCCACATTACCGAAAGTGCCAAATAAGCAAAAACTTGAGTTCCTTTTCACCCTGTTACGATCCCAGTTGATCCAAATCCTTTTGTGTCTCCCTGAAAAGGTACGTGTGGAATTTACGCATGTTCCAAAAAACCGTAGTCATTGATTTCGCTCTCAAAAGCTTTTAGCATGTGCGTTCCGAAATAGCCGGCGTTGGGTCAGCACCTCCTTGTCGTCATCTCCTCTTTACCGCTGGATCGTGGCCAAGGCTGACTCCGCTGGGGAACCGTGGACCCTGCAGTGTCGTGGCTCCATGTGGAAGCCGAATCTCGGGGATCGACACTGACCTACCTGTCTGAACTGGGCTGTTCTGGCGCGGAGTTGAGTGTGGAGGCCCGACGACCGCGCTCTTTTAGCCATGGCATTGACTGGGTGGGGCCTAATTTTCTTCCTCTCCTGAGTTGGCTCCTTAAGGTAATTATACTCGGCCGAATATAATTTGCCTCTTTACTTATTAGTATGTTTTTTGCCGACTTTCTAATTTTCATTTTGCTTGGCTGTGCTAATGTAAATAATTTCCTTTTATGCTTTTGACTGTTCAAATTCACGGTGTTCTTGCATGAGAGGTTTAAGTTGCAGCAAACCACTAGATTAACTTTGTTTTAATTTACTGCTTTGCTGATTTAAGTTTATAATTAAATGTTATTCCAAATTAGTTCCTTTATTGTTCTTTGCTCGTATGTTTTAGTGTCCTGGTTCCCGTCTTTTGATTTTTCTTCTGCCGTGCGTTCTCCGCACGTAACAGAATTGGGGGCTGGTCTGGGAACTGAAGCCATCAGACACTGTAGCAACAATTGAGTGTGTTTAGAGTTGGGATTTGTGTTTCATGTTATTAAGTGATTGCGTAGTCCTAACTTGGAAACGAAATCATGGCAAGTAAATTTGATATTAGCAAGTTCGTAGTCAGCTTTGAAGCCTCTCCTTTGGAGACTAAATTGAACACATTGAAGCGCACTGAATTGTTTGACGTAGCTAAACATTACAATGTTTCCGTGCTTGCTAGTATGAAAAAAGCAGACTTGAAGGCTGTTCTTGTAGAGTTCTTTGCCGACGAAGGCATATTAGAAACTCGAACTGTAGAGCCTAGTCATTACTCAGAGGACGCTGCCATTAGGTTAAAAGAACTTGAGCTTCAAATTCAAATTAAGCAAAGGAAAAAGGAAGAGGTGGAATTAGGACTGCGTCTTTTATATCTGCTGCTTTGTTGCAGTGTCCTAAAATCCAAGGTTACCATTCCTCTTCCCAAGTAACCATTACCGTGGGGGTGTAGCATATGTAAGTTTTTAAAATCTAAATTGATGAATGTCAATCATTTTGCACACAGCAGGTCGGTCACTACAAGGTCCATATTTGCTTACCTTGTCACGAACTTCGACAAAACTGAATTTTTCGTCTGGGTTGCTGCAGTTTTCTTTCTGAGCTCTGACCACAGTTCCAGTGGCTGTCAAAAAGAGCCAAATTAAATTGGGTGGGATTGGATTAAATTGCATTGCATTAAACTGTAATCTTTGAAAACGACCTATAGGAGTAGTGTAAACGTGTTTTGTCTGCATGATACAAAGTTCACTCTCAGACTTTCGTATGTTTATCCCACTATCAACTCGGACATTCTCCAATGAATAATCACGTCAGCGTTAAACATGTTGCCTGCGGAGCAGTGGTCCTGCTCGACAGCCCTGTTTTTGGAATCCCCCAACATTAACTCAAAAGAAACTGTAGGACTTCACCTCAACCGTACAGAAGAAAATATATTTTCTTTATTAAATCAATGTGGCAGAATCGTAAAATTAAACCTTATTACTCCCTACTATGACTGATAATCTTTTTCAAAAATAATTTTGAGACCGTGCATGTTTAGGCGCAAGGTTTGTCTCGTAGCTAAACCACACAGATTAGCACACTTCTTTCGTAAGCACATGCATGTATATGTTTACTTATAACGAATGTTGTTCTGTTTATGTCTGATTACTTGAGATGCATTTTTGGTTGTAACATTGCTCTCTACAGGAAATTACCTCAGTCTGAAATGAAATTAGATTAAAAAAAGTCAAAATGACGCCATAAAGTTGTCATACTTGCACCAAAGAAGTAAGTACAGTCATTGTCGTGATCAACAACCAGACTTGTAAAACGAACACCGTCCACAAAGAGTATGGGTGGATCAGAATACGGTAGGTCAGGTGGTGTTCTAGTAGCGTCACTTCCTGACGTATGGTCATCAGGATTATAGTTGGGCACCAGCCTAAACAGCAGCGGAGAATAGTCCGTTGTGCGGTTTTCCTTACACTGCAAATAGACAAAGGAGAACATTACTCTAAAAGTTATCTTGCATTATCTTATAGCATGCGTAACATTCCAAGAGGCACGTGAAAGGCAAACAGGACACGACAGGACCGGACAAGGGAAATGTATTGTATTTCCATTTTATATAAAATATCTTCAGATTGTTAATTGGCAATGAGAAAAGCTCAATTACTTTTTATTAATAAAGGGAAACCAGAGTTTCAAATTCATTGTGGAATCAATGGAATTACTTTGAAACGAAATGGTCGGAAACGTAGATTTTTGGCCATATGCAGCAAGGTATGAGACGGAGAGAACCCCCCCCGCTTTGTGTTGGTCATATTTTTGGCTACCAGGCTAATAGCAGAGCGATTATTAAAACCAATAAACAGAACAAAACAGAGCACAACAGAAAGCAACAGAACACAACACAAAAGAATATTACAGAGCAGAACTCAACACAACATGACACAACACAACACACCAACAAACCTGACAAACAAACAGACGAAACAAAAAAGGCAATGCGACCGTCTTGATTTTCAGCTAAGACTGTATAGCGCCGCGCTGCGCAGTATGATCTTTTGTTTTAAGAACTTTGCATTCCTGCCTTTAGCTAAAATGCATTAAATGAGTCGAACTGCAGACTCCTTTTCCGACTTTTCGAAGGTTTTGTACCTTTTCTTGACTTCTTGAAGTTCTTTTGTCATGTGCGACACAGCAAAAATAGAAAGTGGCTTAACCTTCTCTGTCATCTATGCTCATTGCAAATTCTTGGCCGCTGCCACGGGGCTATAGAGGAGTGTTTCATAATACTTTAGCTCTGAGTGTCCGAGAAAACCATGTGCAGTTGGCCGACGTTTAAGTTTGAAAACGTCGTTCGTGAATGTAAAGCATGTTCAAAATCATTTGCGTCGAATTACGCTAGGATAGGATATGTATTCACATCACTCACGTGACATGAATACATATCCTGCCATTATTACTAAAATCTGTTGCCGCCCCAGATCAAACAAATATCCAAGTCCTTCTTGTAATAGCTTGTTCATCTAAAGGTAGCTAGCACCCTCTAAGACTGATGGTTCGTGATTGCAAAATAAACTACAGGGAGGTCTTACTACACTACACAAACTGTGGTGGTAAATTTTATTTAACACCATTTTTTTTTCTTTTGGAATGGAATTTGGTGTAGCAGAGGGTTAAATAATTCTTCAGGCATTGAAATAAAACAAAGAACTGGTGTTACATGACATTAGTGTTAAACTTGTCTCACAGCGCATGCATCTTTGAAAGAAGCCTTCTGATTGGTCAATATAAAATTATGGGACGCTAGCTGCTGTAGGATTTTCTCGAACGTTACATGCTTGCGTGCCTGACACTTTTCCTTGATTGTGATTCAACCTTACTATCTGACAAATGTGTGGCGATGTTAAGAAGTTCAAGGGTGACTTGGCAGAAGTTGTGGAACTTGGTAAGTGTTTTAAATGACTGATGTGCTTCAGACTTGAACCGTCCTCCAACAAGATCACTCCGTCGAAAGACATGTCTGATAGTCCTGCACAAAACAGGCCTACTTGTTGATGCGTGCATGAGTATTGCTTATACATAACAGGCGCACAGCCCAGGGAAAAAATTCCTGTAAAATTACTCCGTCCGAGCTAACACTAAAGAGAAATTATCTACAGAATCAGTAAGATTAATATAGGCATGCCATGTACCCAGTGTTCCCTTATGAGGGCCAACTACACGTATGCACATGTACGTAAACCTAGTTTGTTTGTTTCAATGATGCCATTCACTTTTAGCCGAAAACACTCTACATGTAAATTTGCATGCCAATCTTTTTTAAAAGTGTGAACATAGGAAGTAAAGACGTTCGCACATTTCTTGCATAGTTTGCCAAGTTATATCCTTGTATGGGACTATTTTCAGAAAAATACGATGGTTTTACAATTTTTGCTTTTTTAACAATGGCCTAGGCCTACGCTGCATAGGGCCAGGCCCCTAACACTGTGGTAAGTGTACATGCAATACATGTAACTGGTCTGTATTGGTCTATTCTTTTTAGTAGATATTTAAACAGTCTGAAGATTACAAACCTCTCTGACTTGTTCATTCACTTGCAATGCCAAGCTCCATAGGTTTTGATCAGGAATTGCTAGTGACGTTACCCTGGCAACATGCTTCAGTGAAGCAGACACAACAAGCAGCCCTCCTCACCCAAAGAAAGCAACAGGTGATTCTACTCCGTATCTCTCTCCAAGACATGTTCTTTCAAGTAGATCCATTGGAAAGCGGTTGTATAACATGTTTGAAGTGAGAGCATTGCCAAAGTTATTTTATAATTAAGATTTGTTTAATCACTTTTCTGTGTATTTAGAACAGAAGTAAAACAGAAAATTTTGCTGATTGAAACTGCTCTGTGCAAGGTTAATACAGCATTGCCATACTTCACTTGAATTTTTAACAAGATGGTTCTTATCTATGCTAGTTCTAGGCAAAATGCACCGTAGGTTTAAGTGGCACTATAACATTTGATACCGTGCCTACTGTCATTCAGCTGCCAGGTACTAAACCACTTGAATCCGTCCACAAATATAGAAGTACATGTAGTTCTAAACAGTGTACTGAAGGGATCACTTTTTGCAGCACAGAAAGTGATATAATTAACAACCTCCCATTGTCAATTTCAAATTGATCAACAGGTGAATATACCCAGTACATCAATTGAAGGCATATGTTCTGTTGAGTGGGTCCAAAGGAGAGTGGTTTTATGATGTGTTTTCATTGAGGGTATTGCCTATTTTTTAAATTTTTTTATCCTATTTCAGTGCACGCAGAGCAGAATCAGAAACTGAGTGGTTGATTGAGTGGTATCTTTCTTGATAACTTTGCTTATAAATGAGCATTACCTTGACAAAAAAATGAGCCTACTTTTAATACAACATATCCCATTTTCAAGTTTATCAACGTGATTCTACCCAGTATTTATCTCGCAGACTTGTTCACTTGCATTGAGCTACAATATTATTTAAGGTATTGTGGGACCACCAAAGCCCCCCAAAAATCCGCGATGACCACTACTGAAGAGATGACATCAGTCGGGGTATTAAAATTAACACCAGTACAAGTGTGACTTTTCGAAATGCCATATAGCAGTGTTATTTAACACCACCTTCCTTGCCCAAAATAAACATCATTTTTTATTTTACTCCGGCATTTGTTGTTAAAGTCGAACACCAAAAAGTGGTGTTATTTAACACCACAGGCCTTGCCCAAAATAAACACCAATTTTGAATAAGTGCATTCCCCCTTTGGTGTTCAAAGTTAACACCACAACTGATTTAAAGTTCTTTAATTCTTTCCCTGGTGTGTTTAACACTAAACGTCTTGCCCAAAATAACACCAGTAAATAATAAAACTCAACACCATTGGTGTTATTCTTTAACACCAGAGTTTTTGCAGTGTATATTTTCCTATACTGGACTGCCCAAAATGTAACTTGTCATTGCCATGCTCAATGCACACGGGCACGCACATGTAAAGCTGAGCAACAAACCTGAACAACAAAACATTTTGAAGCTTAACCGATGTGGTCAGATGCGTATAGTAAGTTTCATAAATAAGATTTGAAGCTTTGCATGGTGGAAGGTACATGAGATATAGACTTGTAGGTACACCATGGAATAAATCTCTTTTGGAAGAGGTGTGGTTCTTTGAAGAAACGGTGAGAGTTCACTCTCCTGAGGACAGCCACAGCATCCTCGCCGAAACGTTGAGTTAACTCTCCCTGGTTCTTCTAAAAACCACACCTCTTCCAAAAGAGATTTATTCTCTGGCGTATCCGCAATCCTATATCTCAAATTTCACAAAGACAGATAATGGGACAGCTGAGATCACGGTGGGGGCGGCCAAATCTCTCTCCGCCTATTAATTTGTCCAAAACACAACTTTGGGGGGGTGTACCCTGCTGTACATTATCACGTAGGCCTCTACATGCACCCAAACACTTTCTTATTGAAAGCACGACATCGTGTCAAATTTACCAATCCAGGTCTTGGTAGTGGAAAATCATCTCCACTTGCTTCAGTGATTTCCTGCCATTGCCGGTTGACATCACCCCCAGGCTGTTTGCTAAAATAGCCGTTATCGAAGAGATTCATGATGTCCTCTATCCTGTAGCTGCAAAGAGCTGATGTCGAAGGACCAGCTCTGAACACAGAAAAAACGTACTAAAATTGTAACGAAATGCCAAGAATCTTTTATGCGACAAAAGTCCTGGTTTAGAATAAGTTCAATTTCACAGTCACTCTCACATCACCATTCAAACCAGCACACTCATATTGTCAACAAAAGGGACATGACTGTTTGGCCCATAACTTTTTATTGTCCATCCTGTGGCAAAATAGATCGGGTAATAAAAATCTGTCAATTTGATGACGTGATCTTGACCTAACCGACCGTAATCATGATGATCCCTGTTGGGAGAAATCAGTCTAAACCGTTTTTCGTTGGATTTTTAACTCTTGAATTATGTGTATATACAATCTCTAAATCCAAAGACATTTTACCTTGAAAATCACTCTGCATTTTAGTCGAAAAAGTTTATTTCACCAGTAAACTTCACTCAATTTAATTTGGTCCTTAGTTTCAATCAAAGGAGGCAAATTTCAATTGAATGGAGTGAATTTTCACCCTCTGGAATTTACTGAGTATACAAACGTAACACTCTGCACCTAGAATGGGCAATGTACATTTCCACTTAGAAATTTACAATAAGCCTTATGCATGGATATTTACAGCACCAAAATTATTGTTGCAAAGTATACCCGGTTGTAAAACAGTCTTGGAACTGAAGTTATGACTCATGTCAATGATTAGCCTCGAGTCCAACTCGAGTTACAATTTTGGACCATTTAAACATGGATGTGCAACTGCAAGTGGGCCAAAGTGGAAACAGATACGTTCTCGGGTCCATGCGTGGTACTGATTGTTATCGATTTTTCTCAAAAATAACTTGTGACCACGTGACACACGTTGTTCATAATTTTCAACTTACGCATTTTATTTGAAGAACTCCAGTTAGCAGTTTTCTTTATCACTTTTAAAGAGAAACGTTTTTAAAGAGAAGTTTTTATAATCTTCTTTAAGTTTGAGTTTTTATAATCTTCTTTCTTGCCTTCTGAGATGAAACGAATTAGTTTTATTTTCAGAGTAAACTCTTCGAAGGTTTGTGATTGGGGCCGTCATTATGAATCAACAAGTCTTGACTTCTCTTTATAACCAAATATACGTAGAGCTATTGTACGTATTTTTTTGTTCTCGAAGTGGCTCAATTGTTTCTGTCGTATTATCCGACCGGCTGCCGGATAGGGTTTTGCGCCGCAAACGCAAGGTTCTTACTTTAATACACGACCGTAATAAATGGAATACCTACACTGTCCAATTGTTTGCTCTACAACTGACAAAATCTTTATAGTAGCTCTCCTAAAAAAAATAGGGCTGACAGACTGATGGACTGATGAACAACAGTCACTGAGTCGACAGACTAATTTGATGGGTCGACGGAACAGTTGGATGGGTCGACGGACCTATGTAATATTAAGAGAATAACATATTTACGTGTAGATAATACAGCATTTACTACAAACACACTGCATGGTGCAAATGCTGTGTACACACACTTGTAGTGAAGTCATGCACTGTGGTTTGAGAGAATTACCTCGAGTTCTGTTAAATAAAACGCAGCTGTTCAACAGCTAGGACCGCTGAAAGAATGTGACCGATTACATATCATTTTCTTGAGTAGACAGTCCATGTTCTTAAACCCAAAACCTCTAACAGTGACAGTCTGCGCATAAAACATCATAAAATGACTGAGCGCACACAAAGTAAAAACTCTTCATCTCTATTGGTGGGAATGTACTGTCTTTGGGATCTGGCATACAAAATAATGTAAAAATACTTGTAAAGTCAGAGTGTAATGCTGCTTGGAATATAACTAAACAAAATAATTTAGGAGCTAACCTGGATTTTAAGTCCCTCATTAGAAGACCCGACTGCAGTATAAGTTATTGTAGGGGATCTTGCCTTAGCAAGAGTGACCTCACACTGTTTTAATTCAACTTCATGAATATGCATATTATGATCTACCCTGTGTCTGGAATATTTGCATGTTTGTGCGGCTAGTAATTGTTGCTTGATGACCTTTGTGCTGATTGCACTGGTTGTACTTGGTAGACGTCCACCAGGAAAATAAGTTCAAAGGTTATTTTAGGCAATGACTGAATGCATTAAACTTATTGTAATGTACAATAATAACCCTTTGTATTATGTGGTATTTTGGTGACGTGTTAATTGAAGCTCACATTACTTGTGCTATAATTTACTCGTTAAGTAACTCTTTGCATATGAATACAAACAAAACAGTGTAAGAAACGGTCCAAGACTTTCACTGGACTGGCTGTGGAGTTCCAGTTTTAGAGGGACGCGGAGAGCATGGGTATATTTTGATGTTAGTAGTACCCATTTCTGCGTCTGTGTAGGCATAGTCCCATAACAAATTTGTAGTACAGTCTACATGGAATCTCCCATTGAGTATTTCTTGATTTTGTTTGTGATATTGATGTGTTATGACGTGTATGGACATTGCCGTCCACTTTGATGTGTCATATGTAAGCAACGATACCCATGTGTGCTATAGTGAATATAGAGTTTGCATGCAGATACAGTTGGCTCATTGGGAGCTTTCGTTATTTTGTTATCTCAGACAATGGGGGATTTTATCACTCCAGGATCTAGCTCGTAAGGATGCCTGTGACAGTTGCTGGTCACCAATAAACCAAGGCTACAAATATCCTCCTGAGTTTGTCTCGGTCTTTGTACATGTACAGTGCCGGTGCTCGTTCCGTTTCACAATGGGACCGGGCCTCCTTGTGGCGTCCCACGACATTATCATAAAAAGACTAAGTGCAAAAAATAAAAGCAAAGTTCTTTGCAAAAATACTAGCAATGGTTTACACTATTAGCTTACAATGTTCATGTCACGTGTTATCAAAGGTAAGATGTGGGTTGACCACATGTTCCACTTCTTACCTTTGATTAACATAGGAACCCAGAGGTAAATTTTAAAATACCAGATATGATTTTCTCTTTCGTTTTTAATTTATCGCATTGTGTTCAGAAATGGTCACTCGAATTGGCTCGAGCGAACTCAACTTGACTTTTGGCCTAACGACTCAACTCAAGTCACTTCGTTACAATTACTTGACTTGACTCACGTTTTCCCTGTAGTAGTTGTTTTTCATTTGGCGAAGCCGGCGCATGCGCAAGCGACGTACCCAAATGCGGTAATCATGAAGGCGTCGTTCCATATGTACGTTTTGGGGAGTTACGTAAAACAAAGCGTTCATGTGTTTCACTTTCATGGACACAAAAATCAACCATTAACATAACACCACGTATGCGTTGCGTTCTGCCGTCAACATCGCCGCGAGAGCGATTCTGAAGCATATGCAACGCTTGGCGCAGGTGTTGACGGGCTTATGGAAGGCGGCTTAACTCTTAAGACCAACGCGTGACGTATAGCCATACTCAGCGGTGTTTGCGACGTTGAGTCGACTCGGCAGTTTTTGAAATCGAGATCCTTCAATTTTTCCTTCGTTTGTGTAGTATTCACGGAGTGAAAACTACCTCAGGTTCAGTTGCCAGACACACTTCTTTATATTTTGAGCACTTTTATTGCCTCAAACGGTCATAATGCACCCATGGCAAATGATAGAATGGACACATAAATAGGCTTGGTGACAAACAGTTTGAATGGTCGACTGAAAATGTACCTGTGTGGGCTAATTTTTCTCATAATTTCCTATAATTTCACTGTTGTTCTCTTTAGGAAAACCCACTGTAAACAACAGTGTTAAAACGGTTATATATAGTGAATTTTTATTGGTCGCAAATTGGTCACATGATTGCTACAAGCATGCATTATTGCTAATGATGAAAGGCACTGGCGGTGTTTACGTGCTACAAAAGAGATGCATAATCTTGATCTTTTACACAGTTGATGTTCCGTTTCCAATACGAGGTTGCAAAGCGTATATTTGAGATGAGGATCGTAAGACAGTGAAGCAGGTATTTCTTCTGTCGGTTTACAACCATCATTTTAGTTTACATCGTTTATCTTTTTTTTACTGATAAACGTTACCATAATTGTCCCATAATATCAACATCAGCAGAGGACAACAGTTCGCTCTAAAAGCGGAATTTCTTTTTTCTCGTTCTGAAGACAAGATCAGAGATTCCATCATTGTTCAGAGCAGCACAGAAAAACGAAAATACAGAAAGTTTGTTTGCGTGGGAATACGGTCACCAAGGTTTCGAATTCTTTACCACAACAGGTATGACGGAGAAGATTTGATAACAAGACTATTTTGTTTTAGCTCATCGAAACACTTTGTGTCACAAGGGACCAGATGGATGCATGCATGCCTTCTGTAGACTTGACACAGGATGACGTCATCAGCCCAACATAAACACAAGAATTGACCTTGCGTGTTTCAGATTTCGGCCCTATTCGCTTTGGAAAGAAATGCTTCAGTCCTCTCTAGTCCTTGTCTTCTTGTCATTAAATCAAATATGTTTGTGCTTTGGACGGCAAATTTATATTTAAAAAACCCTTAAAATGTCAAAATATACCTCTTTAATTACATTCAAACCAACCGCGTGACCATTGGGAAATAAAGTTTCTAATATATCCCGGCAGTACTTCAGCAAAGTGAAACCAGCCCTTGAAGTTAGCTTCTACGAATTCATTTTTCAAAATAAGACCAAGTTTGCAATGTAGAGTGAAATTGAGCCTTTTTTGAAAATTGGTACTTAAACGATGTATGTTGGCCGTCCGTATTTGCCCTGGACCATGGAAATAGTGTACCATGGATTTCCATCTTACACGACACAAGTTAGGCGAACAAATTAGAAGTCGGCAAATTGACTCTTGCACCACCTTTCATTTTAATTATTTGATCCCCTTGTCGGTTTAGTAATGTTAATAAAGGCTAGAGAAGTCAATTTTATGTTACTGATTCGTCGATGAAAAAACCACCTAAAGCTAGGCATTACTTGCTGAAACAAGTGAAAAACATGTACCTATATGTTCATTCCCAGTACGCGGGCACAAGTTGACTGGGTGTAACTGATGTACATGTACAGTCATGTGGGAAGCAAAATAAACTGTCCTTCGGGAAAAATGTGCCTAAAGTTCGTGAAATTTAGGAAAAATTGTACATCAAAATGATGGCAGCTCACGGTAACAATCAACATGATCATACGACACATTTTTTACACCCGTTGATTGACTGGCTTGATACCAACTGAAAAGCTTCAATGTTATATACTTCACTGCAATCCAATGTATCACTGCTGAGTAGCAGCTTTGGGAGCTCGTATGAAACAGTTTCACTTACTTTGGTGATGTGAATACTCCATATGCAACCTTCTTGTTAGCATCCCAAACAACATCCTCTGTAAATAAGACAACGATTAAGCAAGTAAATCATTTCGATTATACACATGTACAAAGAGATTTGTGAATTTTTCTGTGGGTTAATCTAGATGACTCTGTTTTCATGTCTGTGGGAAATGCTGCTATTTCATCCAGACAAATAACAAATCCAACACTAAAGTTGGAGCACAGGCACCATTTTAAAAAATGATGGTGTTCAAAGCAGTGAAGTCTTTTTTGGGGGGGGTTGCATGGAAACATTGTGCTTTTTGTTTTCTTTTACTTCACTTGCATTTTATTGCCGCATATGTCAGACACAAATTGAATGAAATCTTACACCAGCGCAAGTTTAATTCCTTTGTTATCGTTCGGCCAGAGCAGTTTTAATTCCAGATCGATAACCAATAGCATTTTATGTAAGTGATAGCTTAGCATATCCCCGGTCGAAGCGTAAACCGCGAGACAACATTGTAAATAAGCTAAATTGAGCAAGTCCCGGTCGAAGCGTAAGCCGCAAGACACATATTAAGACATTTAAACATAGGAAGTATATAGGATGCTTGTACCATTGAAAAAAAATTAGACTGTTGTTTGTGGGGAAAATCCATCTTCACCCCCACGACCCTATGAAGACTTGGACACTCCACTAGTCCACCGTTTGCACAGTGGTGTATAACCCAAAACTGGATCAGTCCTTGCACTGATTTTGGAAGTGTGGATCTACAACAGAATTTCTAATCCAAAAGAAAACCGATCAAATTTGACCGAACACGTGCGGAGAAGTGGCAGAAATTAACTTGTCCTTGAAAATAAGTGTGTCCTTTTCATGCCTGCTGTCAATTATTACTGTACAAAGCTTAGGAAGGTTCTGGCTACGGTACAAGATGGAGTGTTCGGAAGTGGGAATGCAACCGTTTTTGTACCCATAGTGTTTGTACCCATTTGCAGCCAGAGATGAATTAAGCATGCGTACTCTGCTATATTGTTCACTGAACCAATGTGAATACTTACGGATGTCATCATAGTAAAACGGGATATTGCTGTCGGATATTGAACATTGCAGACGAGCCTTGATGAAGGTGATAAACCTATTGGTGTTCGTAATGCCGCCGATATCATTCTAAATGTCATCCGACAAAAAGGGAAAACAAAACTGTGTTGTGGCAAAACAAGTTACAATGTCAACCATGACTCGCTAATTTGTAGTCGCGATTTATACATGCTTAATTGATCGGATTAGAAATTTACACAGATGAGACACCTCATTCTGATCAGCATGTAATCTATGGGCTACATTTCGGTTTTTTATAAATACCAATTTCGCAGCGCTTCAGCCTCACATTTCACGTTGGTGCCATTAACCTGTAGTACATGTATGTATTAAGGTACATACTGAAAAGCTTCTTGAGATCTGTGCCACCAGTGGCCTTAGCCAAGTTGTACAGGGAGTTGTGTTCAAGTTTGTGAGAATGTTCTAAATCTAGCATCCTGACTGACTTAGAGGACATTGCCCCCAGGATCGATAGCTCTCTTGGCAATTCTGATTACTCTTCTGTGTACTTAGCATTCAACCATCTTGCTGTGTACAGACAAAATAATCGATCAAATTTAAAGTCCATCTGGAAGCACAAAATGCTGACTGGGATCTCTTTCTCGAGCAAGTGTCTCCAAATGATGAATGGTCCATATACGTACATGTAGGTTTACGTACGCCTTGTCAGTATTAACGAATGCTGAACACACTTTGGAACTGAAATAAAAGGAGTAGTTGACCCTTGCATACTCAAACGCGCACTATCTCAACAAGAGCAGACACATACCGTACGGCATTGATAGGATGTGTAATGACGCCGCAAATAAAATAAATATATGGAATCATCTGGGACGAGTACAAGCAAGAAATCACTGCCAGTACATATACAGACCAGCGAGATATTGAATGCTTCACTTGCTGATGGGAATAAATCTTCCATGTAATGGTAGCGCATGCTGAAAGCGTGCTAATGAAACACCTGTTCCTAAGCCTGGCGGATAGCAATCCTTCCAGTGTCTTTCGGGTCACAGAACAGTCTTCCCTTCTGGAACACTGATGTGCAAATGAACTTTTACCCAATCTGCAGTTTTGTTCTCGCCTAAAAAGATCAACACATGATGCTCTATCTCCATATCAAACAAAAATTCCGTACAAACTGGACAGAGATACGAGTCTACTTTTTTCACTTTCAAGATCGGCCAATAGCAGCACAAGGGTCACGTACACCTCTATGAAACCATAGACCTGGAGGAGCATGTGACAGGCATGGGTATATACATGTGTGTTTGTACTCGCACATGTGCATCTACCCATGTTTGTACATGGTCTTGCATACATTTTTTTTCCGATTCCAATATCAAGATGTATAATATTGGATCACGTAAGACACTTATTGCATGGAAACGCTTTCCGCATGTAAATTTGCTTGCATTTGACAGTTTGTATTCACACTACAGGTACATGTACGTTGGTAACGTATATCCCAGTACAGTGTTCAACATATCAACCTATAACCATTCCCCTTGCTTTTGTCAAGTGTTTCCAAACTTGTATGATTAACTGGAAAAACTCACATCAATGTGTTTTACCTCAGATATTATTCAGTATGCCAGGAACATTGAGATTACCTAAACACAAAAAAACCAACCTTGGAGAATGTGAATGAACTCTTCAGGCATGATTTCAAGCAACCCTAGAATTAACTTCCAGGTCATCCTTACTATTAAATGATGCAACTTATTGATAACCTGGTTTGTTTGGTTTGTTTTCTTTCAGCTGACGCATCCATAAGCTTTGAAACTTTGATGGATTGTCCTCTGAATTGGATTTCAGCCAAACAAAAGATACTGCTGATGGAGTTGTGGCGACTTAATGGCAATATGCACTGTGTTGTTCCATTCGTATAGACACACATTGTTACACATAATGTTTAAGATGTACATGTATTTTCAAAGACACACAGCTGCAAGAAATATTGAACTTCAAAATGTGTACACTTCATTGCAGAAGAGCCACTCTAAGTTGTACTTTTATGGGTATTATTGTAAGGAAAAAACTCAACCAAAGTTCAGAATGTCCCTTTTGTTAACCGATAGTTCCATCGTGTTATTTACACTTACCCCTGATTTTCAAGGCATCATAAACGGCGACATATTTTATACACACTTTACTGCTCAGTATTTGGAGGGCTGAATACACAAGACTCCATTTAAAATGTTTAGAGATCTGTTTTCCCTAAGTAATCTCTTGGGTTGTTATTGTTAAAAATAAATGTAAAAATTACAAATATTTGAGTTTTCTTGTTCTCAGCTAAAGTAAATGATACAACTGTTCCCTATCCTGCAATGGCCCCTTAAAATCGTTGATGTTTTCGTTTAATACGTAAAACCGGTTAGCGCAAACCATTTTGCTTTTAAAATCAATTCTAGTTACCAAATATTTATTCAAATACTATCTCCCCTTGCGCTATACAGGATGAGTTAATTTGGAAACTGCAGTTGGTACCGATACTTGCATTTGGCAGGGACGACGTTCTTTACGGTATAGAGGCAGACCGTATTTGATGAATGGTGTTTATGTGTGATAATCCGCTTAAAACTGATGTCAAAAAAGCAAGAAATTGCTACCTTTATAAGGACACAGCGAGGGTTTTCTTTACAGATCATATGCACTGACGTATAAATATAACTGTACGTCTCACTGGAATCATAATTATGAAAATAGGAATATAAAAGGTTCCGTTGCATTTTTACTCCGGACTGACAAAGTAGAACAGCAACCTGCACATGGAGTTTAAAATTTGCGTTGTTTAGGGGATTTTTAAAAATGAATGTTTACAATACGAACAATAAAAAAATCATTTTATTCCCTGACAGATTGAAAGTTTCACTTCACCAGGCAAAGCCAGGTATAAAAAAGTACTGCCATCAGTACATAAAAACACTGCCATCTTTTTATAATTATTCATCACTGCACTCATAATCATTCATTATTTGCACACTAATTCATGAATGATTTGGAACAGAAATACTGCTGTTTTGTTTGGTAAGATACCGTACTTATTGCATGCTTTACATAAAAAGGCGCGTGAAAAGTGCAAATCAAATGCAAAGTTATTTTTCTTTCTGTCAATCATGTTACACAGACATTTCGGCACTATTGCGTAAGATAAGGGAATTACGTACCTTGCACACTCTCGCGATGCGAGAGTAAACTTTTTCTCCAGAGGTGTATTCGAGTGCATTCTCACGGTAGAAAAAAAACGCATACTCACGACCATCGTCATGAGTGTATTCAAACGGCCTGCCTACGAAGGTTCCATCTAAAGGTAAGAGAGAAAGCCTGCACTGTATTCCGAATGCTTTCACCTCTTAAAGTCAAGCTCGATTAACTTCAGAAACAAACATATGTAAAGATATACAAAAATATAACTTTTGAAATTCATTAAAAGGAAAAAGGACTAAAACTTCACATTTCTTATGGTCGTAGTTGTTCTACCCTTCCAAATTTTGAAGTCGTTCATTTGATTAAACCACACGGGAACCACATGTAAATGAGACTTCTTTCATTTTCTTTTACCACTGCTGCAATCATTGTGTAAAGCTGCAGCTTCAACAGAGAATCGGCGCTAGTACGAATGGCCCTTGAGTCACTGCAACGTGCTCTCTGTGAAACACACCAGGTACTTGTGTAAGAAATTCTCCGATGCGAGTTGATAAGAGAGATGCAAGAAATTCTGCTAAAAGCACGGCTGGCGTGCAGCTGTTAGGTCATACCGAATGGAAAAGGACTGAGTTTTATTCTCTGACGTAAACCGTTTCCCATTGCTGCAGAACATGGAGTCCCGGGTCTATATGAAGCTCTCTGTTAACCCTTCGCCTGATTGTTCACGTTTGTTCCGTTTGTGCACAGGATTTGGCTACATAAAACACTGAGAGTATAGAAGTATTCGTGCAGTGAACACCATCAGTGCTGCATAAATTTTCTCTTGGATTCATTATTACGTGTGTCATTGCAGCGAAACCGTCTGGACTTATGAGGCATGCTATATCACTTCCTGAAAGTATGGTAAGCAGTTTTCGTACCACTTTACAAACCACTCAAAATGAGGTTCACTGATCCTTCAATATTCTTATGTATGAATCGTTTCGAAATGCCCACTTAATACATATTGCTGTTTCGTTAGGAGAATGAGCAACATTTGATTCAAAGTACGATATAAATTTTGGAGTTCAACGATAACAATAAAGATTTTTTATAAAGCACACATATCCACCTAAAATTGCTTATAACGCTATGAAAATTAACCATGCAAGAAAATTTACATGCTAACTGGTTATACAAGTATGTTTGCTAGCCGTTTGAAACGAAATGGCATAAATGTGCTGGACCACAAACTTAGGGAGCAGTGAGTCTGACAGATCTGTCACCTCAGAACGGGTATGATCTTGGTACAACTAGAAGATGTATCTGAGTTTGCGTCAATTCCACTAAATTATAATCCAACATATAAGAAAGACTGTGAAAACGTCGACTCAGTAAAGTAGCCAAAGGCATCAAATTTATTCTTTATTGAAAGGTGAAGAGAAAATTCAAATCGTTGTTGAAAATCTTGCTTTATGAAGCATAAATCCTGAAAAAAGGAGATAACTATACGTCATTTCCATGGAGAAAGGCAAACACACAATAAGGCCGGATCGTGGGCGTTCCTGGTATCCGTTAAATTTGCCCTCTGTGCTTGTTAAGAGGCCCATCAGAATCAGTGTCACGGCCCCAAACCACAGTTATACTCTACCCCAACCCTCCGGTCACAACCGCTTTGACCGAAACGGGGGGGGGGGGGCACGAGGGTAATCTCCTCGTTACGAAACTACAATGACTATAGATTTGTTAAAGATATACAATAACTGTAGATTCGTAAAAAAAATATATATATATACACCCTGATTATAGGAATGACGTCACAGAAATGGTTTAATTGTTTATAATTGTGCATTTTCCAAGCTACATTCAAGACATATCACAGGCGTTTGACATTTTGGGAGAGCTACATGTTGGGACAATTTTAGTGAGGTCACCATTACAGACCGCCCAACCGACCAAGCAGTTTTAACCAAATGTTTGAACCTTTTTATAGAAGCAAGAAAAAAAATCCGTGAAAAACTTTTTTTTCAAGATATTTGCTACTAAAGTGATCAAACTCCAGACACATCGGTAAAAGTATGAATTCCAACAGAAAGTTTGATATAATAAGGGAACTATGTAGGGACCATAGAGGGTTTTGCAACCCTATACATTCTTCCAATATGGTTGATAAATGACAAAATCCAACAAACACTATTCTGTGAGTGCCTTACCGTTAATGAAGCCCATCCCAACAACGACTGTGTCCAACTGAAACTCGATAGGGTTGTGTGCGTTCAAGTCTGAATTTAAAGCATATCTATTAAAGGTTGTATCCTGATCCCTTCTGCTTCCACCATACAGCATATCAGATGTGCCATCGTCTGAAACAGAAGTTATGAAGAGAACGAGTAGAAACGGATGACTCTTACACCAACTGGTGTCGATAAGTTACCAACCAACTGTTGGTTTGTCTCCTAAAGCACTGCTATGAAAGTGCCACAATGGCAAATAGAAGTGATAAATATTTCAGGTTGCTGTTTTCAACGAAAACATATTTGATAAAAAATAGTAAACATTATCTAAAATTATTGAAACTTAAAATGTTAAAATGGCTAATTCCGACATTAATACCAGTCAAGGGTCGAGTTATTTAAATCCTTTTCAATCTGCGTTACTTTTGATAATTTTGATGGCGTGGGTAGGGTTTTTAAGAAATATGCATCAACAGAGTTAACTAATTAGTAGATTAATGCAATTAGTAATTACCTACTAATTAGTACCTAATTAGTAGGTAATGTAGTTTTTTTAGTACCTAATTAGTAGGTAATGCGGTTTCCTCGTTTTCTGTATTTTCTAATGATGATCTGCCAGTGTCATATTTCTTAACTGAGATTGTCAGGAGTTACAGATTTTTGGAGTCTCCTTTTAGAATACATTATTTTAATTTAATATTTTGTTTTCCACCGGAGGCTTGTAAAAGCCCAACTGACCTAACAAGGGGCATAGGGACCGTGGGTCTCCCACTCGAGGCCTGTGCCCTCCTACCTGTCTCCACTCATAAATCAGAAAAGGAAAAAAATCTGTTGACGATCAGTGTTTTAACTGTGACCAAACCCACTGAGTGCCCTTTCCAGAAAATAAGCCCCCTCCCGGTGTCCCCCTAAAATTTATTCAGCTGTGCCCTTGTACACAAGACGTTTTAAATCAAAAACGAAAGTAATAATCTGTAAAAAAGTATTAGATCCGGGTATATTTCATAATGATTATTTCAAATTTCTCCACACGTCAACGAAAAATGTTTCTTCAAGTGCAGACCTGTAAAATTTATAAAAAAAAGATCTGATAAAACTACTACCCTTAAACGAAGTAACCACTCGGACACAACTATGTCATGTAATTGGTGTTCACCAAATCTCTATGGAAAGTAAGAAAACAAACTGCTTACTGATTACAGATACCGATGCAGTGACGTCTATTTGCTGAGGAACAAACAGGAGGGCCGAAGTACTTGAACTGATCGCATTACACGTTATTGGTCCTGACGTGCTGCACTGTAACAGTAACAAAACAAAAATAATAACATGGGGGAGCTGAGTGACTTTGACGTTTCCATTTTTTCACGTTCTGAATCACTGTACCAACCTGATGTCTAAAATGAAGAAAACCATGCAGGAACTCTACACCAGATTATTTCTCTGTTTTTCTGAGTACCCAGACCCAATCTTACTTCCATCACTCCTCTGATTAGTTTATCATCTCTAAGTCTCCTAAAAAAGCTAGGAACAGGACGTTCTCTATTACTGTCCCTCGCTTGTAGAACAACAATTTTACCCCATCACATTAGGAACTCATCATTCAATACGCTCTGAAGAAACATCTCTTTCTAAGATCATAGTTGTTTGTCTTTCTATTCCTTTTCCTCTTTTTTTCTTGTAAGCGCCTTGTGTCCTGTTGTAATTTGGCGTTATATTTATACAGTTGATATTATTATTTGATAGCAAAACATTTTTCAGTGCTGCCCATATAAATCCTGCCGCAAGATACGCAACTGGTGTATACTACTAGACGGCTGACAGATTCTGCTACCGTTAATGCAGCCGCGCCGAGCCGACCAATCAGTTTGAAGCCACGCGCCCTTAAAAGGTTTCCAACGATTTTTTTGTCAGCACAATGGAAAAGCACAGAAACGTGAACAATTTTGCGAGGCAGTACAGAATTCAATATTAAGTGGAAGCTATTCAAGATAAAACTTACACACACAAGTAACAGCTACAACAACTGTTTTGGAAGCAAGGCCAAAATCAAAGCAGAATAGGGAAGAGTCTTGTATTGTAAACGTCATGTCCTGTATAATTTTAAGCTTCGTATTTCTTACGGACGCTTTTTTATTTAATTTTTTTTGGGGGGTTGCTTTGACCGACAATAGGTTTCACTTTGAAATAGGATTTCCCCTTATTGAACACAAGATACAAAAACGCAAACAAGATACCTACCACATAACACAGCCTGCTAAATGCATTTGTGCCACACACTAAAAGTTGACCCGAACTTGTTCTTTCTGCAACACGTATGAAGTTCCAACAAACGGTCTGTGTAGGCAAATATAAGTTGATGTTAAATAACATGCTTAGGGGGATCATGGAAGCACTAAAGGCAAAAATAAAGACAGTGGCGTAATGGACAAAGACCTTCAGAAAATTTATCTAAGCCATTGACAAATGCACAAGAGAAAATTTAGTTTGATATTATAAGAGGATCTACCCTTATGTTATTTTAACTGCATACAGCGCAATTATAAGCCGAAATACAGTATGAACGGATTTTTAGGCCAATTGGTTTTCTGATTAGGTATGACGTCACAGACTAATTGGCATCGTTGGGTATATAACCGTTGATTCTCCCTTTGGGACCCTTGAAAATCAGACCAAAGAAAAATGGACTGCGATTTGTAGAAAAAACATTTTGCCCTTTCCCCAACCATAATCTGTGCCCCCCCCCAAAAAGCAAACTCTGGGAACACTTCATGAGAAACTTTGCAATTGAATTGATTTTGAATGAAAAAATTACCAAAAATCCTTTTTTTCTTTATATAAAACGTGGGGGATGATGCATCCCCTGCAAAAAGTAAGCAATTATTTCCACCCAGTCTCCTGGTATACTAATCAGCTCCGGGCGAAATAAGTAATCCGCCCAGGCGAAAAAGTAATCTGCCCGGGCGACATAGCAGGCCCAATTTTTTTTTCAGTCCTCTCCTATATGCGCTTCCGTAAGTATTACTTATCCTTCCGCAGCAGAATAATGAAATTTAGTTAGAGGGGACCTCAGGGATGCATTAGCTACCATAAAACAGTCGTACAGGTTGTACAGGCTCAGGCATGACCGAGAAATTACCTGGAGACAAAAATCACCTCATGGAGGAACAGTGTGATTTTGGGGTGTGACTGCTCTTTTGTTTACTGACATGCGATGACTGGTCGGCTTTTTGGGTTTTGACCTGGTATTACTTTCCCTTCCATAGCAGAATAATGGAATGCAGTTAGATGGTACCGTAGGGATGCATTAGCTACCGTAAAACAGTTGAACAGTTGTTTAGGTTCAGGCATGACCGGGAATTGACCTGAAGACCACAATCACCACAAGGAGGTAGGTTGTGTTTTAAGGGGCGGAGTCTGTTCGGAGGGGTGTTTATTCTGTACGCGTGTGGTGTGTAAATATATGAATGTTCAAGGATCGCCAACTAATATTGCATATTTGTCTAAAATTGCAGACAGATTTAGCGGCATTACAAAATAAAAATAACATTCAACTTCAAGGGAGCCAAACACAGGGTGGTCAATGAAAGCCTAAGAAAACACATCGAGTTTGTTTGTTTACCCCAGTCGAGTCACAAATATAAGGTTATCACGCAATTACGACTGGGATCTCATGCAACCAGACTACCATGAACAACAAAGTACACTGTTTCGATATTAGACTTTGAATTAATGCGACTATACAAGGAACTGTACGCAAGCAGGAAATTAATTATGCATGCGCATGCAGTAGCCGAGCTGTGTGTGTCGTACGCACCGCCGCGAGCGCCTTTGGAGCTTTGGTTCTAGTGGTTGAATTATTCGATATGCTAATATTTGTTAATTATTCCCATTGCTCTGAACCAATCGTGTTTTGGGGGCTAAGTAGTCCGAGTGTGTCTCGGCCACTTATGTTCATGAAGTCTTTGCACAACGGTGCGGCCTGGTATTTTAAACTTTTGCTATATCCAGTTGGAAGATTGACTAATACGTCTCGACCCTCCAAAGGAGCCTTCACGGCAAATATTTGCTGTGGTTTCAATTTGTCGATCGAATCCCAAGCTTCAGTGCAGCATATTTGAGGCAACTCTGGAAGAGATTGTTGTCTAGAGCTTACACCACTGTCGGAAAGAACGCCGTGTTGAATACGTGCGCCATTGTAACCATGAATAATTTATTACATGCGCCACAGAGGTGATCGTTTTGATTGGTGGAGACTTATGCATACGCATATATCGTATCTGCTAACGAAACGGTAGCGAATGTAAAGAAAAACATAAGCTACGTGGGGAAGAACTCCAAAGGCGTTCGGGTGCGTGCGGTTCGTCGTGTAATCTTTCTTCGTGCGTTGGTTTGGTGCTTAAACTAGTCTCCTCCATCTCCTCGCTCTTGAGCGACTATCCATTTCGCCGTGGGCGCCTTGATCAAAGACTATGTCGACTTAAGTACCCACCGGACCTCCCATGGATGATTCAACTCAACATAAATCGTTGACACTTTGCCTAAAATGATGTAACACGAAATGGCAAACGATTCGACGCAGACGGTACGTATGGGTCAAAGTACTACGCAGATGATCTGTTCGACATGAAGATCAAACCGGTGGATGAGGACGGCAATTTTTTTTTCACCTGTGGCTGTAAACCAATCAAAGCAAGAGTGGTACATAATTATTGATGATAGCAGAATGGTCAGAGCAGAGGCTTCACTGTTTCGTAATTGCTTTGGTTATTAACCCGTTTGGATTTCTGTTCAAAACATAGTCGTGGATGGTCCAGCAAGAAAATGATAATTATTAATGTTGTACCCTGATTACGATGTCATATGCGTGCGCGCCGTTCATTCGTGCTGAAAGAGCGCATCGGTCAAGTTTGAGCGGCCTGTTCTTAAAACGAGGCTATTGTTCTTGCTCTCGAACAGCAGCAACACAAGCAAAAATAATTTCTCGGAAAATAAACTCATATCCTCTTCTCGTCTTGTACGAACAGATGGAAAAAACATGTGGGATTTTTATTTTGAAAGAGCAAAAAATAGCAAGATGGCCAACAAAGCTGAAGACGACAGAAACATTTGGTAAACTTGCATGTGGTAAATTTCTCCCGGTACATATTTAGCTGCTTTTTGCAGTACCCGTTCATTCATGGAGACTCCCGCAACATCTTCCTACAAGAAAATCCTGACGCCTGTTAACGAATGTTGTGTACCAAGTAAACTGTTAGCGATGGTCAGCCGACCATCGTGAAAAAAGAGAAGAAAATTTGTGCTTTCTCATAAACTACAGCATTCTTTACAAACTAACTGATGCCGTTATGTACTTTCTTTCCCGTAAGATACTCCGGGATTCTAAGGTTGTCCAAATTGAGGGATTTTACCAATGATGTACCGGTAACTTAATATGGCAAATATCTGGAAGAATGAATAAACAATGTATTGTGCGGCGAAAGCATATAGGAATATCTGTAGTGAAATTAAAAATATTAATTTGCAAAGTTCCCAAACATATCAAATGTTTCTATTTTTAATGCAATTTGATGGGCAACCAAATCCATATATAGTACGCGCCGTTTTTTTTATTAGCTTTTAGTGACTTCTCTTACATGGATTCATTTTTTGAGAATTTTTGAAGCTCAGCTGAAAATTGATTTTTCATTCCTTTTTTTGTACAAGAGTTTCATTTTCGTGTTTCTCTCAGCTCAAGGTGACGCCATCTGCTTGTTCGCCAATTTGGAACTTATCACTGGGGAGTTCACAGTCAGTATTCCTTGCAAAGCCCTGGTTAACTAATCTACAAAGTCGCAGCCTGCGAAATTATTATTTTGAGGGACCAAAAGAGCATTTTGTCGCTACAAAGAGATGATTTCGAGGCAATAAAATAATATTTAAAGAGAAAAAAATACAAAGAAACGAATTATTTTGGGGGAGAATATCATCAATATTTCGAGAAGATCAATCACCCATAATTTTCTCTGCTTGCTCAAGAGGACTTCGTACTTGTGCACGACAATGTATCATGTGCGCGTATGCAACGCACATGCATTAACTCCATGCCAAATCGTCCGAATACGGGAAACATACCGTATCCACTTCAGAATGGGTTGTTACATCACTGATCTGTGCAGTTATTTCAAAAATCTATTTGTGTATACGGAAGCGCATTCACGTCGAATTCACATTGCTTATGTGTGGGATAAAAATAACCACACAAAGTTGTGAATTAAACATCCAATTTTCCGAGCCGCAAGTCCTGTTCACGCACCATTTCAAATGGTACGTATTCATACAGAGACGTCGACATTGTACAACTATAATCCTGGTCAAAATTGTTGGGACACTGCATGGACAATATGGCCATACCCTCCCCAGGTCCCCAACTCCTGGTCATTTAGTAATGTCTAGCAGGAGCACAGATCGTGCATTGTGACCCAGCATTGACAGTGGCCAGGGGATTGAGGCCTGAAGAGATTTGGCACTGACATAATCGACTGTCGCCCTCAAACGATTTGACTCGTCCATCGAATCATAAACTATGTCGCGTCGTTCACATGTACGTCACTGGCTACCGTCCTCAACAAATCGTTCGGCGTGTGCGTTGAATCGTCTGACATTTTTATGGAATAATATGGATCATCATCTTTCCCGTCTGATCATTCCACGACCCCCAATTCGTTTTATTTAAAATATCTAAGACATCGTTTTCAGACAACTTGCAGTTACCATCCTCAAAGGACATCAAAAGTTGTCACTAGTGAGAGATCAAACCAAAGTGCAAGACATCATGGAAGAGAAATTTGAGGCATATAGTCCGAGCAAATGACAACAGATCGGCCACCAAAAAAAAAAGAAATAATCACGTAGCCAGAAACCAAGATGGGCGAACGCAATTCTGAAGACAGCGTTAAGATGAAGAAGGTTAAGATGACATGGAGGAGATCGATTATGACAACGCTGAAGACGGAGAGGAAAATGATGATGAGGATGATAATTGCAAGTTTGTTGGTGACTTATATGTTGAGAATCATATCCTTCAAAAAGATATTGAAATTGACAAGGCCTATTATTTTCCAAAATTGTTCGTTTTTAAAACCCTGCTCGTTTTCGACTTGTATTGAGGGAAACCTATAAATGTCAAGATTATTTGTAAGAAAATTCCGACTATTTTTTCCAAAACTGGACCTTTAATGTTCGAGGAAAAATCGAACGATTTTCCATTGACAAAGTAATTTGAGTGAAATTGAAATACTGAATTATGACTTACTATGGTATAAAGGTTCAACCGTATCGTCAACGGCATCCGCCCATTCTTCAAAATTATACGTTAAGGTCTACTTGTGAGTTACGGCCACTTCGCCAGGTTTTTAACTTTGTTTGAAATGCTATTTTGACAGGCACCAGCCTGCTGCACCCAGACCCCGACAAACGTTTGTTGAAAAGCGGTAGAGTATCTATATAACTGGAAAAGTAACCCTTCCCGTTACTCTCTATCGGACAAAACAAGCCATTCAACCGTTTATCGAACAGGTCAGGGCGCTGGTCTGCTTTGAATTTGGTTTGAGCTGACGCACATGCGCCATTTTTCGTGGTAATGCAATGGCGTAAGGTATGATCTGAATTTCACCGTGTAGGCAAGCCACGATATTTGCCAGGACTGCATTTGGTTCAACCATACGTCCAACCTACAGTGTCCACGATAGGATAGCTGAGCAAGCGTTATAAGGAGGTTTTATTTAAATTAAGTCTAAGGACAAGAGTATGGGCAGCTTTTGATATGATATAATCTGTGGCTCTACAAATAACAACCTTTGAAAGTGCACCTTTAATCCTAAAAGAGCCGGGTTATTTTGGCCCATCGGAGCCGGGAATTCCACCCCCCCCCGAACTTGGCTTTGCCTCGCTAGAATGTTTTTGGGAAACTCTGTATACACGTTAAAACACTCCTTATCTGTACAAAATGTGATGTTTGAACTCAATCTAACAAATTGTTTTCTTGTTACGGTCATCTGAAGTTCAAGGCACCGCAGCAGCAATATAAAACAGTTTTGGCTGACCGGGGGGGGGGGGCAGAATCTACCCCACCCTCAGATCTCAGCCATACGATGATGTATTTCAATGACATTTGGCAGGGCCATAGAGGCATACAAACTGATCATCTGTGTGAAATTATATTTAAATTACCAATTACCAATTTTTATCTTCTTTAGACTGCGAGCGATTTTATTGCATTTTTCACATCAAAGATGCTGTATGGATTGTATATTCAGTGGAAATGAAAACAGAGATGCTATGGGCTGTATACAATAATATGCATAAGTTAATTATACAATAAATAGACTTCCCCCAAAGCAAGAGACTTCCTGACAAAAGGAAACCACTGCCGTTTGTACGATGTATTTCTGTGTACAAAGTCAGTGGTAAATTTCACATCATACTTCACCCTGCATCCTAAAATTCTTCACTGAGAGAGAACGCCATGTCCAATTTTCCTTAATTTGGTGTTAAAACGAGGCTAATATATTGGAAAAATTGTCATAAAGTATTATCATGCAGAAATTAATCCCGGAGATGCTATAAGCAAAAATCAACAGGGGGGCGGATTCCCCCCCGGCACTTTTGAGGGTTAATTGACAACAATTTTTACTCAATATGTATTGTGAAAATGTAACAATCTGCACACAATAGCCTCATATTTCTCTACAATACATTTATTTTACCACATTTTGATTATTGTTGTCAAATCTGGCCTGGACGTTTTCAACAACACTTTGACAAACTTCTCATATTGCAGAAGTATGCTGCAAGAATAATTTTGAGCAGAGGGCTAGACTCATCAGGAACCGAACGATTTGATGAGCTGCGATGGCTCCCTTTGCCAAAACGAGTCCTTTACCTTAAAGTGGTTTTCGTGTATAAGTGTGTTAATAATGTTGTTCTGAGTTACCTATCTGAAAACATTGTAAAAGTCTATGATATCCACGGCCGACACAATAGCAGCCGATCTACTAGTGATCCCTGATTTCAAATGAAGCTGTTATCAGCATAGTCCGGTTGTTCAAGGTTTGTTGGCATGGAACACTTTAAATTTTAACATAAGATCTTCTCTATGTCTCGATGTATTTAATTATGCTGAATGATCTTTTAACACAAACCTTGCAAACTGTGCGCACTTGAAGTTTAATTTTAAACATTATTTTATTATTTTTAAATTTAATTTGACTTCCCTTATATTTGGGTTAATTCTTAAGTATTTTGTTGTTTTACTCTATCACATTTGCATCCTTATATATTTTTAATTGTGAGTTTTACTTTATTTTCGTGTGCTTTCCACACTTACGGTTTCTTTTGTAAGTGACTATCTGTCTCAATTTTTTGTTCCTAGTTCTTGGTAAATAGTATTGTGTTTTACGATCGTCTTATTTGTTTTACTTGTCTTACTTTTAGTGTTGTATATGTACTTTATTTTTAATTGTGTTTCTTGTAGCAGGGCCCTGTGGAAGACCACTTTATAGTGAACAGGCTCCCCTCATTAAATATAAGAATAAATAATGAAATTATCCAGTTTGTATTTCAACAGCAAAAGCTAAGCGTTCGAATTGGCGTATGTGTGGCAGCGCATTTAGGGCAAACTTTGCTGGCGAGTATATAAACTTCATTTTGATCATGCGCGATGTTGAAATGCCAAACTGACCCACTGATGCTCGCGGCTCGAGTTGCAGGAGGCGCAAACGCAGCTAGCGAGTTTTTAGTAAAATTCGACCCTGTAAAATACCGATTTATTGGTCGTATTTCCCATGCCCGTTTGACGATACAGGTCACTAAATGTCGACCATGGTGGCTAGAGTCTACACAAAATAGGCGTCAAAATTTCAAATAACACCAGGAAAGAGTTTGAGACGAGTAGGTAGTTAAAAGCTACGAAAGCACTAGCCCCACAAATAGGGCTGTAGAGGCTCTCTTTTACAATCTGTCTCTTATCTGTCGCCACCTGTCACCTGGGCTGCCAGCGCTAGAAGCGCTGCCTTGGTTTTTCAAAATGGTGCCGCCCATGGTAAGCATGTAATACGATAGGCCAGGTTTTCAAGGCGCCATACATCGGAAAATCTACGATTTTGGAAAGCTTTAGGGTGCTCATATAAAAGTTCAACCATTGAGGAATGAGCCGGTGTAAGTAATTTTCTCGAGTTATTCTCTTTTTGGAAAATATTAGGATTCAAAGTTTGTGACAATCCTACAGTTTGGATTTCAGGCATTTAAGACATGCCTTGGAGTAGGGCTGTGGTGATGATAGATAAGAGACAGATTGTTAGAGAGCCACTACAGCCCTATTTATGGAGCTACCTAAGCACCAGCCTCTAGGCGATTAAAGAAATGGGAATTTTTTTAGGTATGCAATAATACTTATAAAATTCCTCTCACCTCTTTGTTGCTCGGGTTTTGGGCTGCACAATTCACGACAAGCGTTGGTTCCATTGTTTGTAGTGTGATCTTAATGAAAAAACAACAACAGTGGTATAAAACTTAACAAAGATGACAGCACCCCATAAACTTGCCTTTCTCATCAAAATATAACGGTAAGAAGTTCCTTTGTTGTGGAATATCTGCTGCGTCCGTAAATAGGTTTGTTTAGAAGGGATAGCCAATTAATAATAGCTTATTTCCCCAAGAGTCAAACTGGCTATATCAATTTCTGGGTCACACTATATACAACAACACGTTCCGGTGACAAGGATACAAAACGACGCACAGAAAGCATCAATGTCAGATCAAATGCTGAAAAAAGAGCGATTACCAGAGAGGAACAAGTTGCGTGCCAGTTCATCTCTCTTCTGTGTTCCTCATTCCAAAGAAAAATGAAGATCTGAATCCGTTTTAAAATTTACAGCCCCTAACAAAGTTTATTCAGTACATCACTTCAAGTTGGAAGGCCTGACAAGTGTAAAAAGTTTGCTACAGCCGAACAATTACCTAGCCTCCATAGATCTGAAGGACGCTTATTTTTCAGTACCGATGCATCCATCTTATGGCCAATATCTCCGGGTTTTTTTTACTAAACCGATATTCCAGTTTACGTGCCTACCTTTTGGCATGTCCAGTTCTCCTCCAACATTTACAAACATTCTAAAACCCCTGTCAGCATTCCTCCACCAGGGAGGTAATCCGGTGTGTGTTCTACCTGGGCGACATTTAGTAGAGTGTAGGCTTTGTAATCATTTTTTTTTTTTTTTTTTTTTGCAAATCGCATCTGGAACAAACCAGAGAACTTGTTTACTTGGGATTCGTCATAAACTGCGAGCACGTAACACTGTCCCTGACAAAAGAAAAGTTGGATAAGATTGTGTCTCATTGCCATCCAGCTCGACAATCCTCCGACCGCACCGTTCGCAATGTAGCGAGTCTTATAGTCATCAACCATTCAAGCGGTGCCTCCAGCACCTCTTTTTAACTTTGCGTAGGCCTATAGAGCGACCAAAAACCGCACTCTTCAGAAGAGTAAGTCCTACGCGTCATCAGTAATTTTTTTGGCAGACTCAAAGGGAGAAATTCAGTGGTGGATAGACTCCATTCAAACTTGGAATGGTCTCCGATTTGTTCAGGACATTCCCGACCATCATTTTCAAACAGATGCATCACTGGGGAGATGTTGTGCAAGCCTTGGTGAGACATAAACGGGAGGGCGCTGGACGCCTCAAGAACAGTGTAATCACATCAATTATTTGGAACTTTTGGCAGAGTGGTATTTAAAGCTCTCAGGTCGCTTCTGACCAGCTGCAGCAAGAAACACATTCGGGCGCGAACAGACAGCTCTTCGACACTGGCATATATTTCTCACAAGGGAGGAACACACAACCAACAGCTATCACGTTTGGTGGTACAGATTTAGGTTTGGTGTCTTCATCGGGGCATAGTGATCTCAGCTGGGGTCACAGAATGCCACAGCGAACATGAAGTCGAGGCGGTTCAACGTCAGTGTCAAAAGGTGTCTCCTTCCTCAAATCTTTCAGAAGATCATAAACATCTTTTCATTCCAGCCAGAATTCAACCTATTTGCATCCAGGCTAAATGCCCAGCTTCATCAGAGGTTTATCTCGTGGAGACCCGATCCCTCTGCTTGGGCTTTGGACGCTTTGATGCTGACCAGGACCGACATACTAGATTACACATTTGCTCCGTTTGCTCTTAGCCAGATGCCCTCAGAAAGTGAGCAGAAAGAGAGAGAGCAGAAGTAGTTCTGATAGCTCCAATATGGAATACACAACCCCGGTACCCTTTACTATTGCAACGCACTGTTCGCAACCCACTCCTCCTGCAAAGCCGTTCAGATCTTCTACGTCTACGGCATAACCTCAAACAACACCCAATAGCACACAAGATGCAACTAGCCGCGTTGAGGTTATCCGGCAAACCGTGGCAACCATGGCCGAGGAATTCCACCGCACGTGTCCGACACAATTTTTGTCATCCTGGAGGCAGAATACTCACAAGCTATTCAATTCTGCATGGAGACGCGGGTGTGGCTGGTTTTCTAAATAGGCATCTGTAGCAAACGTATTATCCCTTATTATACAAGAATTTCATCCGCACATTGTTTTGTTGATGAAAAGCCCATTGGTCAACACAATTTAATCACCTGATTTTTTTTTAAGAAGTCTTTAATGCAAGACGCCCTAAACCGAGGTATAATACTACCTGAGATGTCAGTCGTGAGATATTTAAATGGACTCCCTGATAACTGTAGTCTCAACATCATACAGTTTTCGGACAAATTGGCCATGTTAGTAGCCCTTGTAACAGCTGGCAGATGTTCATCTTTGACAGCTTTAGACATCACCTTAGCTTAAAAGATAACAAGATAGTACTTGTGTGTTCTGTCTAGAAAAGTTAGCCAAGTGTGCTTCAGTGCAGCGACAAGGAAGAGAAATTGTTCTCCGTAAATATCCTACCAACAGGAAGTTATGCGTAGTCAGGGTGCTGATCGCACGAGTTCTCTGCGAGGCTCTGGGAGTACGAAATTCACGCAACTTTTCATTTCTTACGGAAAACCGTATGTATCACTCAGTTGCGTCATCGATCATTGCACGTTGATTGAAATCAATCATGGGTGACGCTGATATTGACACCTCATGCTATAAAGCGCACTCTACTTGAAATGCATCGTCCCAAGCGGCAAAACGCGCAGGTGTTACTATCGGTGACCTTCTGAAGACAGCAGATAGGTCTTCATCGGAGACATTTGTAGCCTTTTACTACAGACATCCTGACAGGACGAAAGACGATCAAGGAGTGCTGGCGTCGGCTTAGATTGCAGATGTGCTTCAAAGTCTCTCCGAGATTAGCGAAATATAATCCCCCAATTATGTAAAGGTTATTTACCTGCAATATAATTAGATTTGTATGAGATAAGGGAGGAGAGACTCAACTCCCTCCCTCCTTTGTTCGTTCACCTTTTGCTACAGGCAAAGATTTTATTACCCGTCCAAGAACCAATCTAAACCGTCACCGATCAAGCATGATCCAGCGATTCAAGCTCACAGAGACAACATCACTAGGTGGAGTGAGAGGAACTAAGCCTTTTGCGAGTTAACTTTGACCCACATCTGGTACACTGAGTTCTTAAAATTCACCTGAACAGAACAACTTGAAATCTCGTTACTAAGGCCATTGTTGCTATGCCTTGTGATTCCGGGCAAGCTTTTCCTTAGTTACATAAGAGACGCCTTGCAACAATGCACTGTTCTCAGTAGATAAGCAGGGCACACAGGAACCAAAGCTTGCACCGAATCACAAGGTATAGTAACAGTGTCCTTAGTCTGGGAATTCAAATCGTTATGCTTATGTGCAGTCAGATAACTCAGTGCACAAGATTTTATTCAAAATTAACTCGCAAAAGGCTTATAGAGGGATCCCAATACGACGCTTTTAGCGTCAATCTGCGCACTCCTGCGTTTGAAAACGAGGCTGTATGTGTCAGCTTCAATTTTTAATACGATCAGACGATTGAAAGTAAGGAGTCAAGACACAAAATACATACAGGTGTGTTAAATTCAGACTTTTCAGGCTGCAATTTTTTGGTGAAGAGCCTTTCAGAATGACTTGACGCGTGAAATCAAAGGAAAAAACAATGGCAATTTACTGTGAACTAACATACCTGCGATGGTCGTGTATCTTGTGCAGTGGGCGTGGTTTAAACTGAAGTGGTATCACACTTACGAACCGTATACTGCATGTACTGTGTGGACTCCGCGGGCGCGCACGACGAAGTTCAACACAGAGAGCCTTGGGTTTTGATGAGGATATGCGCAGACGGGGCTACGGTGAAATCCATCCATTGGTTCTGTACCCGGGCACTTACTTAACTTCGAATGCGACTGGAAGACGATACCATTACTTCAGAAGGTGGATCAGACTGCATCCAAAGGGGCAATCTACGCGGTGAGTCTCTCCTCCCTCACCTCTTATAATTCTAATTAAATTATTGCAGGTAAGTACCTTTAAATGGGAATTGTCTCGATGCATACGTGATGAGGTACGGAGATCTGAGCACCAGTTTCTTCCATCCGGCGTTTTTATGATATCTTCATCCCGTGATATATTAACTCAAGATGTTGTCATCCAACTGTTACGATGTCGTGATCTCGTCGTAACTTAGTTCAGGTTCAGCTGAACCTGAACTAAGTTACGACGAGATCAAGAGCTACCTGAATTCAGGCAGCTCTTGAAGGTTTTTGCGCGGTGGAATACGATAAGGTAGAGAGTTGCGGATCTCTTTTGAGTGTGTGTGGTTCTGAAAACAACCGTTAGGAGGGTTCCGGATCCGGTAACAGGTTCTTTTCAGGACCACACATACTCAAAAGAGATATTTTCCACATGGTGTATCCGCAAATCCTCTACCTTAGCTCAGGTTGTCAACATCTTGCCTGTATCATGTATCATGTATCATCAACAAGTGGAATGGCACTTACAGAGCTCCGTAGACAGGGCTCTTGTTCTTCTGGCTAAATTCTAGACTTTTCAGGTGAAGAAAATAATTTTTAAAAAGGAGAAGTCCAACAACCAAAATCGTTGTGATGTTGGATAGCTTTTTTTTTGAACACATCTGGGCCTTCAGGAACGGATGACGAACCCTGATTCGCACGGAGAATATTGTGCATGGGACCTGTCTTCAAACAGAAGTGAGGTATCTTTCTGCAAACCATGGCAATTTAATCAAATGATTGAAATCAGTAACTGTCGAGGTAATGTACCCCGTAAAGAGCCTGTATAACTTAGCAATATTTCGGAAACTTGTGTTGGGAATTGGGTATTGTGTGTGTGAGTAAGTGTTTGTGGGGGGGGGGGCTGACATCATGTATAGAGGAGGCGATGTTTATGATACAAATACACATCTATAATATGTATTACATACATGCAGATGCTTACATCAGAACATCATGTTTATGGCTTTTTGATTGTCCTAACTTTTAAGTGATATTGAATACATTTTGAATAGCTTTTGCTAGTTGGATCTGTTTTTCAAATGGACAACAATGATCAATTTTAACATAGAACTCTTGCTATAAGATATCAAGCTAGATTACATGTACTTACCTGATTTGTAGTAACTTGGTTATTTTTGATAGACAGCCTCGTGAGGGTTTCATTAGATCCAATGTAGATGTGACCATCAATTTTGTTAAGTATCCTATAGGCTGGTAGACCTGTCTGCGTGTTGCTGACAACCTCGGCATCTATTTCGAATGTAAGGAAATGAGAAGTCTAGGACCAGGACTTAATTTCTTATAAGTGGAATGGAAGTCCACCGCCTAACACTTCCTCATTAATCTACCGAAGTAATTGCTCTACACATCCTGTACTCATCGCCTTTCTGGCATTTCGAAAGACACCGTTTTATTCTGACACCTTTCAATCATACACGTCTTGGAGAGAGGTGGCAGATTGTTGCCAGCCTCGTCTGACACGTAGAATGAAGAATTTGAAGCAATGCTTGGTGGTATGCACCAGAGAAATAGCGCAGATCATGCAGAAACTCATTTTGGTCAAAATGCGAGAATGATACGAGCGGGTACCCTCTCTAGCGCAGCCCTTCACACAAAATAGCTGACACCAAACAACAAGCAGGAAGCTTTAGTCATCCTTTTGACAAACAAAAGAAATGTCAGAACCTGTTGCTTTTGTGTTGGAGAATCTTCTTATATCAAGAAACACAGTAAATGATAAAATGAAAGCAGACTGCAAGACACCAGATACCGTCACAGTTTAAAGCATGAATTAATTCCAATCATGGCAACTCCATGAAAGGCAACTTCAGCACAACGATAATTCATTCAGGCATGTTAGCAAGGAAAATTTTAGTTTCCTCGCGTGCGTTCTCGCCACGGCATGGCCTGGAAGATACCCCTTGTGGCAGCAAATTTCTCCAGAAACTTAATTGAGTGTGGTTAGAGATTACAAGCTTCATCCACATAAACGTAAAAATTGACGCGGAAATATTGACAAGGTAACAATAGTCTAGTGTGTGTATAGCGATTGGACGCGTCTGGGGTACCCATGGGTCTCATTTATTGAAGGATATAGATGGGATTATTATTGGTTATTTTATTTTTTTTAATTTATTTATTTTTATTAATTTATTTTCTTGGGCGCATCTCGGAGTAATAAGCCATCGGGAACCGCATAAACCAAGTTGCCTTTAGTGATGGGGGAACTATGTGTAGAATCCCTGATAATCAGCCACGCCTAACCGACTGGAGTCGCTGGAACCTTACATCTAATCAATTGGAACCGTAAAGTTGTCAACAGGAAATAAAAATCCGATCGGAAACTATAAGTTATGACGTGTGTCTGAGAAGTGTCCCACCAGAGTGCCATTAAAACTGTCAAAGGATCCCAGTAACCAAATTGTCGCGAATAGCGTTGTGCTATAGTCATAAAGTGTTTGTATTTTGTTCAGATTTGTGCAAAAGGGAATAGTGAATGATAATTTACAAAGATTAAATGCGACATTCTAAGGAGGAGACTCAAGTAAACACCCTGCTCATAACACTGGTTTATTTACATGCGTCCTAATTCAGACCTTTTTAATTTTATTTATATTATGTTTTATTTTTCATATATTAATTTTCTATTGTATGGGAAATGAAAATTACTTCTGGCGTAGAAAATATATATACATACCCTACCTTGAACGTACGATACAAAACAAAATGTTAAAACTTGCCAGAAAACGAGCACCTGAAGCTTTGTTCTTACCCCTTGATGGACAGGAAAACATGCAGCTACCATTCTGTTCAAGTTTGGCTGCATCCAACGAGTTGCTGAAGAAGGCAACCAGTAGAAGAGCTCTCAGTACCAACACCAAATGCGACTGTGAACGTGTTCTGGTAAAACAATCAGAAATTAAACAAAGTTTTCAAGAAAATAACCACTTATCAATGATATCCCATTCAGATATTACATTTCATTTGTTAAAAAGAAAATGCCGTGATGAAGATCCTTTTTTTCTTAGATTAACATACTTCTGCTACACAGATTAAGAAAGGCTAAATAAGAATAAGATTAAAGGAAATGGTGTCATAAAGCCATTCGGAAACCTTTACCTTTAAAGAATGAAGTTAACTGTGTGTGCGTGTGAAGCGCTAGGCCTAATGTTTTTCGTTTTGGATAATAGGATTTATCAGGACCAAAATGTTAAGGGGGTCCCAGGGTGCTCAGAGTCGTTGGATATTATGAAAAATGTGATTCCCTTTGGATGAGTTGCGTTGATACATCTTTTAGTTGTAAGTTGCCAGGGTCTCCAGCTTTGGGACTAAGTTCGATTATTCTGTCCATTAACGGCAATTGCAAATAGCAAGAGGTACTACAAAAGCCTACTTCTCAGTGCAGATCTACAGGTATGAAGAGACTTAAATGTACTTGTGTATCTTGGTTGTCAAGAACACTAGTTGCCAACAACACTTTGATATTTGTTATAGATGAACAGTTTGAACATTGCAATTTATTAGTCTTGACGAACTACGAATTCAAGTTGTAAAAAATATTTATTCAACAATTGTTTTCAAGTTATCCTTGAAGCCACATGCTACGTGCCTCTGTTTCCAAATGTAAAATATTTTTCATATAAAGTTTTAACTCATTCCATTCAATCAATTCAACAGTTATAATTGAAAAGATTGAATTTTAAAAAATTCATTTATAAGTTGTTACTCAATGTTCGATGGCGAACTTGTAGTAACTAAAAACATGCAGAATTTGAGTATTTACAGCAAAGGCCAAGGGTTCTGTTGCGTGTGTACTCGAAATACGCAAACCATGCGTTAGCAACCACCAAACCGGACTTCTCCTAATTTGAAATAGTTTAACAATTCGAATTACTTTTAATGAACGTGAAACGCATTTCGTACGCAAATATTTTCAAAAGCCGTTGTACCATCTGGGGGAATGTGACATGCTATTTGTCATGTTTACTATTTTAACATTGCACTCCAGACAACCAAATTACAGTATTTATTCCCAGAGACCCCGTACTAATCGTTATGCATATTTCATTTAACGCACAAATGTTGGTTCGATTGAAAAGGAAGTGTACACAAACGAAATTAAATTTGTTATGCCATTATGTTGAATTTTCAGGTGAGGCGTTATAAAATAAATATGAATACATATACATCTTGAGTGCTTGACCAGTGAAATTATTATTACCGCTAGCCTTCCGTAGTGATGAGATAATTCCTCACAGTCCTAAACGGGACGCCTCAGTAGTTTTTTGTCACTGATCGAGTAAATATTAAAATGGCGTTTTCCTGAACTGAAATGCTCACAAGCAAAATTGTCTATTTAGTGTTAGCTGAAAAAGTCACAAAATTATATGGATCCCTCCGATAATCGCCTTGAGCCTAAAATTTACCTACAAGACGAGTTTTAAAAATGTTATTATCATGAAATTGTGACTTTCAGGGCAGGTAAAGATACAAGCGGTTTTAACATGTAAAATGCTGTTTTACTAACCTTGTCATCCTGGATAAGTTGTGATGCCTTCGCGAGTAAGTTTGAAGTTAGTCAACACACAACCAGATTTCAAATTCATTTCCGGGTAGACAACTAAAAGCAAGCGTACGCCCTAACAAGGCTCACACGAGGGCCTGGAGATAATGAGTTCCGCTTAGTTGCACATCAATACACAAGTACAAAAAGCAGCAGGAAGTTCAGTTATACAGCGAGCATTTATGACCATGGGGCCACCAGACAGTCACCTTTTGGCTATTTTTATCTAATACATTACAATATATCTTTTCATAATTATGCACGCATGCGCACAAATAATCTTAGCGGCAAGGGCCATTGAAAATGTAAAGGGGTGTGATTTTGATAAGTGTCTCTCAGGTGTTCTCTCTTTCTCTCTCACTTTTCAGTGTTAATGTTTTGCTATTAGTTTCTAATGTAAGTGGGATTTTTCCTCCTTTATCTCGTGCGCACAGGAAAAAGTCTTTTTACGGAGCACTACAAATAAAATTTGGAAATAAAATACCTGCCAAAAATATTTTCATGGTAAGATAAGGCCTTTTCCTAAACCATTTTGTGAAAATAAAATTGAGAAATGGTACCCCAGTGGTCTAGTGATTTTGTGAAAAGCTTTGTTCGTAAGCGGTAGTTTGTTTTCGTTTTGATACGATTTTTGAAGGCTCGAAACAAAGAATTTGAAGTTTTCCTGAAATCTTCAAAAGTGTACTGTGGTGGAGAAAGGCGTGGAAGTTTTTAGATTTGCTGACGGTTTTCTGCAACATTTTTTTCTCTTTCTGACCTGACATGTTTGCATATCGACCTAATAACGTAGCTCTATGACCTAACTCAGAAAGAACCGTTTCCGTTTTTCCCGAACGAAAAACGACACAATTAAAAGCGATAGAGATAACAGTTAACCCGAATGTCCTGCCGGTCGCTTTACTAAATAGCTTGCCAGAACTTTAACAAGACAGTATGCATTCGCAACTTATGGTGGAATGTTTTTGAAAACATTTTTGCCTTGAGAGCGCTTGAACCACCAGAAAATAGTTAACCCACCAGTGTCATCGTTAGGACGAACGTTCTCAAAAACACTCGATTTGAGTGTTTTTATAGATGCTCAGTTCCCCAACCAGCCTGTAGACTGGGGAGGGGTTCGAGGGACTCGAACGAACCCCCTCCCCGGCTCACTTCTGAGTTCCGCTTGTTGGTAGTCTGGGTGTGTGTATGTGAGTGTGTAAACGCCTTCAATCGTGGACCTACAACAATAGGGGACAAGAGGGTCCACGGTTGCCAAAGAGTCCACGGTTGGAAAACGTGTACAAAACATATGGGAGGTCTTCCGAAAAAGTTGAAGTATGAACAAAAGAGGAACAATAGGGAGTCCCCGATTGAAGGCGTTTACACACTTGGACGTGTGTACCGAATAGTTTAAATATACCGTAAATTCGGCATACCAGCCACGGCTTAAACGTTGATTCTCAAGCTCAAGGTGACAACGACTCTGCATATTAATTAATGAATCAATCTCTAGTCATATGTACCGTCAGGAAGTTCCGGCAAATATCCACATTTCACGTTTCCAAGGGTTTGAAATCAAATCAAGTTTATTCCAAATTGAAAACTACAATATACAAGTCTTACATGCAACCTTTAGTTCGCGACACACATGCAACTTTTCAATGTTGTTTTTTAAAAGCACACTATGATTGGCATTTGTATAAAAATATTTGTTCACAGTGCCAACAGTTCCACTTTTTGGTTGACGAACCTCCCCCCCCCCGGTCTCTGGTCAGGCAACAGGCCTGCCAACATGCAGGAAGGCCGCAAAGGTCAAGAAATACATATGCTACTTTTGAGAGACAGTGTTTAAGTTCATCCATCATTCTATGCAACTCTCTGTACACCTTTGACAGCTTTTTGAACAAAAAATATAAGTAAAGGATCAGACGTGCTACGTAGCTTATAAATGCAGGAATCTAACTAATAGAGATACATAAACAGTGCTGGCTGCAAAAAGAATTATTGTGTAGGTGAACAACGGAGAGTAATGACTATCCATTAATTGGCAGCGCTTGACACAGACCAAATCATTCCATTAGAAACTGTCATAAAAGCGTGTATCCTATGTCCTCATGGACAATGGGTTCCAATGATCCCACCAGAATTGCCCTTAGTTCTGGGAGAAACCCTTAAGCTGGAGAACATTTGAAAGCGTTATTGGCTGGTCCATCGCCAACAAGGTTACTGATTTGAAAGTGTCAAGTTACAGACGAAATAACTTATCCATATCATGACCCGGCAAATGTTCAGCCTTGAATTGGACGTTCTTTAGCATGCGCTTATACAGTCTGGAACGGACTTCTGTGCCAAATGGAATCGTAAATTTGTTGATCGCTATCCTCTCCGTACGTGGGAGCTGAACTACTCACCGGAAACCCCAGGACAGTGTCATTACAAAATGGCCCATTCCATTTCAACGATATAAAGAATAACCTCTGGATGAACCGGAACAATTTGAAATGCAGCTTTGATGTACCTTCGAAAGTAAATATTCAGGGCCGAGCCCTGATTACAAAAGCGTGATTGCATCATCGGTTGTCAGATATTGCTTAGCCGCATAGTAATCAGGCATTAAATCGTTTACAGAATATTTACAAATAGGGCATTTGGGAGACATTTTGTGGTACATTTTTCAGCATTGAGCTAGGGAGACATTGGCTTTTAGGAAGCCATTTCAGTGTCTCCCTATTTTCAAACTACCAGAAGGAAGAATTTTGAGAGATAATAGATTGGGGTCTAACTCCATAGTTAGCTCCCTGTAGAAATCAACGATTAATACTAAAAGTACGGTGTGGGCAGAAAATATTTCAAAAGTGTGCACAGGTCTAGTTCGACGATCAAGTTGGGTGACTGATTGGATGGTGACTGAAAACACTGTAAAGTGTTTACGACGTGGTCCCCTTTTTGTGTTTTGGCTCAATATTTTTTCAGGTCTTTCTGGTGTCGTAACTGAAATTGATTTATGAGATGGATATTGAAATACATAAACTCTGAATTACATGGAAAACGGACACTTTATCAGTTCCACAACTTCACAACTGTGAAATATTATCACTCCCTGAAGTACATTTCTCAACATTTTAAACGTGCGTAAACAGCTAGCTTGACAACGCTTAAATGGCAGCGTGTATCGCGCGCCCTGACATTGCCTCCCCCCCCCGTGTCCATGGTCCATATTGTAGCGGAAGGGTTTCAGCAACANAAGGTATGAGACGGAGAGAACTCCCCCTGCTTTGTGTTGGTCATTGTCTCGCAGGAATCTGGGGAATTCCTTTCAGACATCTTGGGGGGGGGGATGTGTTAAGTAACGATAGTCTGGAATGTGTATAGGGATTGGACATGTAGGGGGGGCCCTCGGTCTCATTTCTTGCTGGGTGTACCGTACCTATACCATGCATGGTCCAGCCTGTGTGTGATTAGTGTGGTTCCCTGACCGCAGATTTCCCAGACGTCTGTATACATAATCTTAACGAGAGTAGTCAGAAATATCGGGACTGGTATCCAAAGCAACATAAACGTTCGTTACGCGAATACGCTGCGTCTGTACTGTCACGTCACATGACGTACCCATAATAAGAGAAGATGTGCGTGATCGTCGGGGGCGTCGGGCGAGGAGAGGTACATGTACGGATGGTAGATTTTTTTTTTACAATAATATAGGTTAAATTTTACAAAATGCACAAGAACCCGGATGTTCGATATAGGTAGAAGTTCATTAAGGGGTAGTTTTGCTCCGGAAAACGAAAACGGAGGTTTTCTCAGGTACAACTAGGCCTGCAAGCACTTATCAAAAACAAGCCTAGGGCCTACCCACGTCCAGTCATGAAAGTACAAGCGTTACAACACGAACCAATTGCGCTCAAAGTCACAACAACGTGGCCAATTGACCAACTCATGACCATTACGACCGTACGCCAAATTGTACCATCACATGAGTATGAGGGTACGTATGAGGATGTGTGCTGTTGCCTTTCCCTATATAAATGTTGGATTTTTCCCTCAAGTTGATACCCACCCGTACCCTAGCCTGGTACAGTGGTAGAATGTGTGCTGCCGTGTGTATCGATGCTTTTTAATGGCTGAACTTTAACATACATTGTAGGCCCCACATGTATCATTGACAAGGCACCATCCCCTGACCACGATAAAATAAGTTGCTCAGTCTTGTATTTGCGTTCCTTGATTAAACTGTATTTGTGAATTTTAATTTGAAATCTTGATCGGGTTGTCATGGTTGTAGGTACGCCGGGCGGGGCCGTCCAGCTCTCGTACATATACTGGTAATCTCCGCCTGGCACTTGGGGTAATTTTAAGCCTGACTGCCCAGCACATACATGTGTATCATTCCCCGAGTTGGTAAAATTTCTTAAAAATCTAGAAAATTCTAATGTATGTTTCTATCTTAACCCTAACCGCCAAGCACATTGTTTGGCTTACACTGCACAGTACTACAAAAAAAATTAGTAATAGTCTGAGCCTGAAGGACCTAGCGCTACAGATTACTACTTCTGGATACATGTAGGTTACTTCCATTGTTACTCGTGCAGAGAACAGTAAAGCCATGCATTCATAGTGCCACAGCATGGTACATTGTCTTATCTATTGTATTGCTTCTGAGAACAATAAGGTCATGTCCTCTGACAAGCGACAGCGCTCAGTACTACATTTTACTACAAGTAGTAAATTGTAGTATTGTGTAGGGTTAGGGTTAAAGAAGATATTTCTGTGTTTAATTCCTTGTTTTAAACTGCAAAAACTACCAAAGTAAGCTTAAAATTGCGCACCAATCCAGGCCTTGAGGTGAACGACGGCGGCCATACAACCACATACATGTACATCCCATCACATTAGGCGAGCTTCACATCCAGTATTCCCTGTACTGTACCTGTACAGCACTACACACGCACATTGCATTTGATTACGGTGTACGAGTTGGTCAGAGTACAAGCTAGTCAGTGTAGGAGTTGGTCAGAATACAAGCTAGTCA